ATATATATATATATATATATATATATATATATGACTAGTTGTCTACCCGCGCAATGCAGCGGGATGTAAAAAGTTCATTAAGGAGCGGTTTATCAAACACTTACCTGGTAAGCACTTACCGGTAAAATGTAACACTATCGTTTATTTATCGGGTAAGATTCTAGTACACCAAAATGGTATCGTATGCAACAATTTATCCGATAAACACTTACCGAGGTAAGAATCATCGCCCTCACTTACCGGATAAGATTATTAGTCTTTGTCTCGCTCTTACCGGGTAAGTTTTTTTGTTCTTACCATGTTCATCCGGTAAAGTAATATGACTTTGTGTTCACTTACCCGAGTAAACGTTTGGTAAACGGCCCCTAAGATTTATTTAATTTTGAGATATCAAATTCCTTCAAGATGTAATAAACAATACTACGTTATTACATAAATCAAATTCAAATATAAATCTCATCCAAAATGTTGGTTTTAGTAGTTTTTACAATTATTCAAAAAAAAAAAAACAGATTTCTTATATAAGATGTGAATATAAACAAATCTTTTTGCTACTGTAAATATGATTGCAATGAATAAGATTCAGAATGACAACATAACTCTCTTCAACAATAAATCTTCCCATCAATCCTTTCTATGACAACACAACCCTCTTCAACATATTTCCCATCTATTTTATATTCAAAATAATTAAAATTTACAAAATTATACATGACATAAATTTACAAAAAGAATTTGTCTACCCAAAATATATTTGGAGTAGACTTTCGAATGACTTAATTTGAAATCGTGTTACATCTTTCAAAACCCAATTAAAAATGAGTAACATACTATTACATTTCAAATGATCCCAGATAGATTTTGAGCACGTGCAATATCCCATCAAAACATCATGAAGTAGTTCCCAAAGTTTTAAGTTGTAGAAAGAGCGAACAATCTACAAATATAAACTGTGGTTCATAGTTCTCAGTGAACTTGTAAACTTCAAACGGATCTGCAAAAGTTTACATATTAGAAACATGATGTTCCATTTTCTATTCCTATAGTCATCAACAAACAAAGTGAACATGAATTCATTAGTTATGTCAAAGTTTCTAAAAGACTACAACATCTCATACCAGATCCAAAGACGATCAAGGGCTTCTTGTAACTAATACTTGCTTTAATTCTTGTAATTTTTAGTCAGGACGGCAAGTGTTCAGAGAGAGATGATATTCTACCGGATGAGTTCAAAATAAAGAAAGGAGATAAAGTAGGTTACATGGCGTATCCAATGGGAAGGATGACATATATTTGGAGAGAAGATGCAGAAGAATTCCAGCGAGAAAGATGGCTCCATGATACCATTTTCCAGCCTGAAAGCCCTTTCAAATTTACTGCTTTCAGCTAAGTAACAGAAAACATACAATACTCTCTTGAGTTGATATATAAATGCATATTTGTTGTTACCATGAATCATGATAATGCACTTATTTAGGCTGGGCCAAGGATATGCTTAGGGAAAGAATCTGCATATAGACAGATGAAAATAATTGCAGCTTTCCTTGTGTTCTATTTCAAGTTTGAATTGATGGATAAGAGTAAGGAAGCTACATACAGAACCATGCGAACCCTTCACATGGACAATGGACTCCACTTATATGGTCTTCCTCATGTGCCTGCTTATTGCGGAATCTGTATGGAAGTTTCACGTAACCAAATATGAACCAGTACATCAATGGAACACAAATTGTAGCCATTAACTTAAAAAAATAAATCGAATAAGAACAACCGATAAAGGGTGTTTACTTCTCCAAACAAAGCACATTAAAAAGCATGATCATTAATACAACAACATAGTAAAAGGTAGACCCAAAAACGCACATGTGAACTACACTTTGTAGTAGACGAAAATAGTTAAGAAAATCATCATCTATCAAACAACAAATCAAAATCAAAACTTCAAAATTCAAAAATAAGTTCTACAGAAAATGAAAACCACTGAAATCAATTTTAAAAAAATCATAAATTGTTTGGTGGAGAATGAGTCATCATCATCTAACCATACTTAAAAGCTCCATAATGCTCCACATTAGAAACTATATGATTCAAGTTCTAATAAACCAAAAGAACTGGAGTAGATGATATCATAACATATGAAGTTAAGTAGCAACCAATGGTGTTGTCTAGAAAGTTAAGCAGAGTTGAAGATTGATGTTCTCTTCTTTAAGACTGAGCTGGTGGAGATTGATATTCTCTTCTAGGTCTCTTTAAACAAGGCATACGTATGGGTAAATAAAGCAGAGTTGAGGAAGCATGTTACATACCTCAGACTCGACTAATCACCTTAACCTATCAAATACAAAAACTTGAGTATTAGATATTACCTCGAAAATCAATCATCAAAGACAAAAACTTGAAATAGATGGAGAAACATAAGTAATCAATAAATCGATTATCAAAATATACAAATAAAAGCATTGAATGCCAAAAAAGAATACAAACACAACGAAAATCAAGACAACCATTATCGAAGAAAAATACAACTATGGAATAAAGACAGCCATATTATTGGAAAAAAAAACACAAATTGGAGAGGCAAATATAAATGATCATTGGATAAAAACTCTGTTAGAAGAAAGAAGAACAAACCTGGAAAGCGATGGGAAAGGCGGACTAAACCTTAAGCATGTTACAAACATTAGGGGAAGAAAGATTTGAACCCATTTTGGTGGTGAAATAGGGTGATTCAAACCCTAAAACGCAACATTTTGAAGAAGGGAATGATGAAAATAAAAACTAACTATTTATAATAGTGATGGAGTCATTGAATTAAAAAACCCTAATCGTATGGAATCTAGGATGGCCGAATGAAGCATTGAAGGACCTTGATATATGGTCTTGATTCTTGAATCGGTTGAATCGACGTCTTGGAGAAATCAATTTTGTGAATCGTCACTTTAGGAGAAGCGAAGAGAGCGTCTCTGAGATAGTCCATGAATCGTCATGGAGGAGATCGACTTGAGCGTGTCTGAGTGTTTGAGATAGTCTTGGGAAGGGGGCATGATCAAGAGGATTAGAGAGGGACTGAAAATCAATGTAATAGAGAGAGAAACCGTGATTGATATCAAAACCCTTTGGGAACATACCATCTTGGAAGTTGAAGCATTTAACCCTTGCTTAGGATAGGTTGTACATAATGCTTTAGAAATTGTAATTAGAAGATTTGAAGACTACTGCATAAATTAGTAGTACAAGGTGTAACAAAAGTTGTTTTTAAGACTTTATGCATCAAAATGTAGTACCTTATGCATTTAAAGTTGTTTTTAAGACTTTTCTCAAATTTGCTTTATAAGGTAGTATAGATATATCTTCAAATTTATATTTTATTCAAAAATAAAATCATTATTGCTTTTTTTTAAAACACATAATCTATACTATATATACTATATTATAAAACAT